TCTGACCCCCCCTGTCCCCCCCCCAGCACACGCCTGGCCATGCTCAGCTCCAGCCTCACGCACTGGAAGAAGCTGCCGCTGCTGCCGTCCCTCACCAGCCAGCCCCACCAGGTGCTCGCCAGCGACCCCGTCCCCTTCGCAGACCTGCAGCAGGTGAGGGGCTGGGGGGGACCTTCTGACCCACAACCAGGCCCTGGGACCCACAACTGGTTCCTGGGACCCACAACTGCTTCCTGAGACCCATAACTGGTTCCTTGTTGGCCCCACCGAGATGTGGGAGCCAAACGTTCTTGGGGGTGGAACAGTTGTGTGTGGTCCAGCTTGTCTTTGGCAACCTGGACCTGCAGCAGGTGAGGGGCTGGGGGGGACCTTCTGACCCATAACTGGTTCCTGGGACCCACAACCAGTTCCTGGGACCCACAGCTCCTTTCTTGGTGGCCCCACTGAGATGTGGGAGCCAAACGTCCTCGTTCTTGGGGCTGGAACAGTTGTGACCACTCCGGTGTGTCTTTGGCAACCAAGACCTGCGGCAGGTGAGGGGACCTTCTGACCCACAACTGCTTCCTGGGACCCATAACCAGGTCCTGGGACCCACAACTGGTTCCTGGGACCCATAACTGGTTTCTTGTTGACCCTGCTGAGATGTGGGAGCCAAACGTTCTTGGGGGTGGAACAGTTGTGACCACTTCGGGTTGTCTTTAGCAACCAAGACCTGCAGCAGGTGATGGGGCTGGGGGGCACCTTCTGACCCACAACCAGTTCCTGGGACCCACAACCGGTTCCTGGGACCCACAACTGGTTCCTGGGACCCACAACTGGTTCCTGGGACCCATAACTGGTTCCTGGGACCCATAACTGGTTTTTTGTTGCCCCCACCGAGATGTGGGACCCAAATGTCGTCGTTCTTGGGGGTGGAAACAGTTGTGACCACTCTGGTGTGTCTTTGGCAACCTGGACCTGCAGCAGGTGAGGGGCTGGGGGGGACCTTCTGACCCATAACCACTTCCTGGGACCCACAGCTGCTTCCTTGTTGACCCTGCTGAGATGTGGGACCCAAACGTCCTCGTTCTTGGGGGTGGAACGGTTGTGACCACTCCGGTGTGTCTTTGGCAACCAAGACCTGCAGCAGGTGATGGGGCTGGGGGCACCTTCTGACCCACAACCAGGTCCTGGGACCCACAACGGGTTCCTGAGACCCACAACTGGTTCCTTGTTGACCCTGCTGAGATGTGGGAGCCAAACGTTCTTGGGGGTGGAACAGTTGTGACCACTCTGGTGTGTCTTTGGCAACCTGGACCTGCAGCAGGTGATGGGGCTGGGGGGGACCTTCTGACCCATAACCAGTTCCTGGGACCCATAACTGGTTCCTTGTTGACCCCACTGAGATGTGGGAGCCAAACGTCCTCGTTCTTGGGGCTGGAACAGTTGTGACCACTCCGGTGTGTCTTTGGCAACCAAGACCTGCGGCAGGTGAAGGGCTGGGGGGGAAGTTCTGCCCCATAACTGCTTCCTGGGACCCATAAACGC